TCCACAATAAGGTGACCCTTTGCCCAGATGGAGGATGCTAGCTGCGAGTAGCGCCTGATGCTGCGGGGCTTAGCCTACATTCCGGGCCTACTTTACCTCTCGACGTCTTCTTGGGGTCAAGGTTAGCCTACTTCCTGGTCTTCTAACTCACTATACACAGATATTTAAATACCAAAGTTCGTATATAAACACCGTGACGTATCCGATAACCACTAAACTGGTGTAACACTGTGGAACAGGTAACGCAAAGAGTTTATGTACTCATACGCCTACTTAGCGAAACAGAGTGAAATCTTTTTGTTGCTTATGTTATTATACTCACGAATTTCAAACTGTTCTAAATATCTGCATTCTTAGCTTTAAATATGATGCTCCTTGCAGAAAATTGATAAACAGCTTATCGTTTTTGTTGACTAATCAATGGTAAGTGTATTAGAATGTAAATAAATAGTATGTTAATATGCCTCTGACGCAATCTATCCGACATTGTCGGTCAAGGATTAAGGACACAAGTATCAAGTAAGTAAGTAAGTAAGTAAGAATTGAAGTCAGTTGCTTTTGGTTCATTGCTTGGCAATTTAAGAACATTTAGTTAAATTACCAGTTTTACAGTTTAGAGTTTATATAGCTTGTCATTGAGATCTTAATTTAAAAGGAGATAAACTACAATGCAATATTTATTAGCATCGTTCTTGATCATATCGGCTCTTTTGCGTCCAACCACACTCAAAATATACACATTTCAGCAGAAAACACAATTCAAGGTTTCCAATTAAGTCGCTACATTAGCGGTAAGGTTTCCAAATTTTAAAAAAGGTTTCAAACCAAACTAAAATTTAGAACTGTACTTGTTATAATGCATGTTTGTGTTGTGTAACACGATTGAAAAATAAATAAGAGATTGATTTGGATTTTGTTTATCCAATTGTATACGCTTTCAATAACCCTATTGAGTAGAAAAGGTTGTTTTAATCTGTATATTTGGAACATCGTTAACAAGTCTATTGTGGGATTATAAAAATAAGACTTGTTATAAAGGTAGACTTCTTATCGAGGTTTGCAATAACATTTGATTAGGGGTAAAATATCCCTTACAGACCCAGCACACTCATTTGTGTAGGTAAATGTTTAAGTCCTGACAACCTAACCAACACGATTGTGTATTTGTTGTTGATTGTTTATTTGTTTTTTGAAGTTTCTGGATCTTTCTGTTGCTCAAACCTGTACGCAATCGTTTGTGTAGGTTATGGAGATCAGCTGGGAATTTTTTTTTGCAGTCTGCCTTCATGTCTTATGGTAACACTGATTGTTTTGTTGCAATGTCACGGTAAGATAGGTGAAAAAGGCAACTGTTAAGGTAAATGACTGTTTTATTTATGTTTTTAAACGTATATAATGCTAATTATTGCTGAAACTGAAATTGTTAATATGGTTTTATGAAGGTTTCGTCTTTAAAACAAACCTAATCAATAATTTTAGTATTTGAAATCTAGGTTAAAAACGAACATTTATTCAAAATTTGCTCAGGACTTAAAGCGGTCGAGATGACTACGATTCCCGGGTCTGAAAGGGATATATTTAAGGTGATATATTCAAAATGACACCTGTTATCAAGGGTGACTTGTCATCTAGGGTCTTGTTATTGAGGTTCTACTGTACAGAGTAATTAATAAATATGATATTTCAATGCAACAGTATGATAAATTACGAAAAGCGTTACAAACCGTTCATTTTAAAATCAACTCGTTAACAACAATCGGTCTTTAACTTGTCATCTAGGGTGAGTTTCTCTAACTTCAACGAAACGTACGTAACCGAGAATGTAACTAAACTACTCGTACAGTTTTATACTTTTCACAGCTGTGGCTCAGCTTTCCATAGAGTAAGAAATCTGTCGTTCGGCTCGCCATAGAGTAGGAAGGGAAAAACGGCATTGCGGTATCTCAGCGTCAGTTACGGTACTCTGTCTTGGATCGTCATCATAGTTCGTCACACACTAACCTAACCTTTCCACCAGCACGACACGACATGTCGCAAAAACTTGACAAACAGTCCACGTTTTGTATTCCATGGTTTTCTCGCGATCTTTTGTTGGACGTCAAACGAATGATGGTCGAATCCAATCTGACGATTTATTCTATATTTTCAAGTTTGCCAAACATTTTTGTTTAGTTAGTAAGCCTTTAAAGTATATCGGACTCTATATACACGATGGTTATCATTTTATTAATTTTCGACGGTCAGAGCTTTTCAAAGAGGTGGATATACGGGCGAATACACGTTATAAATACTGCAAACGCAAATCAACACCTACATAAGATTGTACCTATGCCAGTGGTTGTCATGCCAGTAAACAATAAAGAAAAACTATCAATTATCTTAACAATAAATAATCACTATACCATGAAAGAATCCATTTGTTTATAACTTAAGTTTATGAATAGACGACTTGAATACATATAGCTCTATTAATTTATTTAATACAGTTTTATTTTGAAACATTTTTTATCATACACACGATTTAATATCCAAAGCAAAGGAGTTTACCATAGTATATCATTAGCTTTTAATTTCCGTAGTTATATTTACTTCCTTATCGTTGCAATTTCGGAAAATTACAGTAACTATAAGGATTTAAAAAGTCAAAAAGGTGTTAAATATATAAGAGATAAAACAGATTGAACTTTAGTGGTAAAGTTTACTTCGAAAATTACTTGTGAAGTTTGGAAAAATGTAGTAAGATTTTGTATGAAATCAAAAGTGTAACATCTGCTTAGACTTGGACTCGTCTCATACCAATCACGAACTGACAGAAGACTTCATGCAGAATAATAATGAGAACACGTGAAGAAATGAGATATTCGTCTTTGGGTGTACACAATATTGTTTGGAATCCTCTAGTCAATAATTGCAGGGTACAGCTTTTGTTATCGAAGATAGTTAGTTGTATCATTGGCGTGTTTCCAAATTTACTACAGCTACTACAGTATAATTAATTATTTATGAACATATGTTCCCATTTCTTATGATTGTGTTTATGATAATTCAGTTGTATAATAGAATTATGTCCAAATAAATGAATATTATCATACATTAATGAATATCTATTAATCATGAAGGATGACGATGCATTGCCCTTATAAACTCAAGCATTAGTGCCTTCAAAGAGACAACCGTTATAACTGTCGGTAACAAATTTACATTTTACAAACGACACAGTGGTATATTGAATAAAAGCGGTATGGAGCTCCAACCTAAAGGTGAGTGAGCGTAGCGAACGAGCTCCAACATAAAGGTGAGTGAGCGTAGCGAACGAACTTCAACCAGGACGTGATTGAGCCATGCGAACGAGATCATCTTGAAAATTAAGAAGTTAAACGGGGCAAAGCCCGCGGGTTACAGCTAGAGGTCTCTATCTTAACACAGTAAAATATGGCTGTCAAGATATTATTTAGGCAAGACAACGTCTGCCGGGTTCAGCTAGTATTGAATAAAAGCGGTATGGATTATAAACATAAACAAATGACGTTTTTGGCCCGAAAGTAAACAAAACCACTATAGTAATAGCATTAATTAACATATGGTTTTGTTTACCTTCGGGCCAAAAACGTCATTTGTTTATGTTTATGATCCATACCAAGTCTTTTCTAGTATTCGTGAATAAAACTAACAAGCTAAGTATATGCCAGGTGTTCTAATTTACAGGACATATATATGAATCTAGAATTTTAACATTGTTTTCTACCATTATACAAATTAAAGACAACGATAAGGGTGGGATTTGAGGTAACTACACGTATTTTTTTGTGGAAATCTATAGAGTAAGGCTATAAGTTAATGTTTAAGTGAGTGTATAACTGAATATTAAGAGCATTGCTCTGCTTGGTAGGTAAAACGCTAATATTTTAAGCGTTTTAAAGGTCCCTGAACAATTGCCATTGATAATAATTTATTTAATTTTAATAATAAGTTCTTATCAATATTAAATAAATAAACTGTTCTGGGATCAAAAGAGCTGTATTTAATTGAAAAGTCTTACATATCTTATACTCTAATACAAGCTATGTGTGTTTTTTTTAAGTTTGATATGAAAGGTCACAAGAAAATGATATTTTACTGAAGCTGTTTTGCGGAAGCACTTCAAACTTAAAACGGCTTTCTTAAGTGAATAAATTCTTTCCTTAAAATAAATAAATTTTAATAAATAAATTCTTTTCTCAACTATACAGTTGGGTAAATATTTTTTTATAGAATTGTGTCTTCCTCATACAGCATACTCTTTGTTTATGATACCAGTAGAGTAAAATAAAAACATAATAAATATATTTTTTTTAATAGTAAGCAAAAAAGATTAATATCACAAAAAAAAGCTTAACAAAAATGATGATTCCTAGAATCACACAGTTTTTAAAACCTCAATTAGCTGTATAATCTTTTCTGTTCAAGTGTACAATGTGTTTAAAAGCTAAATAAGCAGATTACCAAAATAAGTCAAACGTAAGCTGCAACGGAGACGGTATTAAGAATCAAATATAGGTTATCCCTTTTATAGACTGGACGAGTGTTTTATTATTTATATAAGCAAACTTCAAATTTTGTTAAACCTCTTTCAACACATGCATTAAATAAATAAAAAAAATAAAAGTAAAACTAATGAACCATTTTTTCTAAATTAACTTTATACTAATGTTAAGCCTGACAAGTTTGCCTAACTATTTACTAGTTTAAACACTTAGTCCACAACAGTGGTCTAAATTTCTTTTTTATTGAAATCTATCGAATAGAATTCTATTAGTTTTGTTTACCAAACTATCAGCTTTTGGCTTAGTAATAAAAATACAAAGCTTTGTTTTTTATCACGAAATAATAAAATAATGACGTCCAATAACAACATGAACAAACATTAAATTGTAAAAGCTTTTCAGATCAATTACATTCAAGAACACGTAACAGTTTTTTTTTTTACTAACTATGCTTAAGCTGCACATGACAAGTTTTACCTGCATTAAAAAAGTTAATCCATACTGTGGTCGGTGGTCGGTGATCGGTACGGTATTGTACGACACTCGCGATGGTACTGTCGCTACGGCACCACTACTGATACTGAGAGATCCGGTCCTATACTGCCCCCCCCCCTCAGCCCCCTGTTGTGCCGATTACCACGTTATTTCGTTAGCAGCTTCAGGGCATTCCCTCGCTGCGATCTTGATTTACGTCCATCGATCCGGAAGATTGTACATCAGCTGTTAGTGAAATTGCTTCCCGGCTTCCCTTACAGAGGGTGAAGATGTTGGGCTCATTGAGAATATTTGAAGGTAGCTAGTGGAGTTTGTTTTGATAATGAGTAGTTTTAAGGCTGGTTATACAATCGTGTGGATATACAAGCAGCTCAAGACTTTTCTTTTTTATCAGATACTGTAGCAAATCCATTTTAGTAGCAAAGTATACACACATACTAAAAGTAGATTTACTTTATACTAGCTTTTACCCAAGGGCTCCACCCCGTTTTACTACATTAGTATTAATAAAACTATTGATTGGTTAGGTTAAGATGAAATAAACAAAACAGAATACAGTAATGGTAATGCAAACAAATAATAACAGCTGAGGTATTTTTAACATTAGGTAAATGGAAAGTTCCCTTTGGAAAGCAATTACGACCTTATAGGGCAGTATATGAAATAATGAATAATTTTGCGCAAGGTTTCTCGTCATGACGAACATTTTAAGTATATGGCTTATGGGGGTGTGACTTGTAGTTTTCTCAAAAGTTCATGGGTACTTTTGACTTCATATACAGAGTGGTCGCGAATAAGAGTTAAACTTTTTATTGGGTATAATAGGAGCATAAATGGAACTCGTAAACGTGGTTTAAAAAAATATATCTCATACACACCCCCAGAGATGACATGTTTTAAGTTTTTTGAAAAAAATTGACATAGATGCAAAAATGTTGCATTTTTCGGTTTAATTTAAAACTTTCAGCAACAATTAACTGTACCATCGCGTTCTCCACAAAATTTTGAATAAAAATACATGTATTTCAACTTGCCAAAACCTGCATAGCTACTTATTAAATTGAATAGAAATAAAAATTTGTGTTTTTCAAAAATTTAAAAAAAATACGTAAACATAAAACTTTTTTCAAAAAAGGTTTTAATGAGCAGCAAACACTTTTAAAAACTGCTCCATGATCTAAGCTTTCAAACAATACCATAAAACGTAATATTTGATCCCGATAAATGTCCGCTATTCAAGTTTGAATGGCGTAAAACACAGGTTACCCAAAACATTTTTACTACTGTCGCGTCGTAATAATGTTTTTTAGATTAATTAATATAGCACCATTTAAACGGATTTTGAAATCAATTTTTGGCAATCTTTTTTCAAACTGGATGAATTAACTCAGCTATAAGGCTAATCTTATACCAATTCAAGTAAGATATGTACCTATGATATGAAATTAAAAAAATAATAATAATTCATTTCGTAGTAGAGAAATTAGTTTTATTATTTACAGTACAGCCATGATATGAAACAAAAAAAGACTTAGTCGTTTTCTCTTATTTACACTACAGCATACTTCACTAAAACGACAAGGCTGTGCCCTACAACCTAAAAAAAAACACGATACAGATATTTGATAAACTTCAACTTAATAAATATAATTTATTTTTGTAAAAAAATACGACCGACTTCAAAATGCTCTAAAAAGAATGAAATAATTTCAATAAAGTAAACTTTTGTATTAGGCAAGCTCACGTATTTCAAGTCGGCGCGGCTCAAAATGCAAATATGATTGAAATTAAATATTGTGTGTGTATTTTGAAAATCAATAAATTGTAGCTGGATAACATAAATATATAAAAAACATACTGAACTGTTTTGTTTATATATTAAAGGAAATATTTTCTTGTATTTTATGTTTACTTCAGAATAAATGCATTATGAAAATAACACACACAAATGTTCTATATGAATAGAAAAATAATTTAGTTTGATATTATGATAGGGAAAAGAAGCTAGTTTAGTATTAAAACGTTACTTTTCCAAGTTAGAAACATTTAAATGCGTTATAATCTTTTTTAAAGATACTCGTTAATACCACTATAATGCCGATCTCTGATGACGGAAATAAAATAACATAACATAACTATGAAAATGACATGCAGATTAACACCTTTAGTTATACATAGTCACCTGCAATATGGACACACTCTTTCAATTTTGTATCAAAAATCATCATAGAGCCGCGCCGACTTAAAATACGTGAGCTTGCTGTGCTTGTGATATAAATTAGTCATCAGCTGTTTGATATTGTGAACATTTTTATTTGTTTATCTTTGGATGATTTTTATTGATTCTTGTAGTCATGGAGAAATCAATATTTACCAGAGTTGGATTGTTCTGATGTATAAAAAAATGTTAGTTTGTTAAAGCATTAAATATCTTAATTATTTTTTTAATTTGCATGTTGATTTAATTACAAGCTATTTCGGCATAATGTCAGGTACTGGTGTTAAGTTCTCAGACTTGATTAAGCAGTATGATGGAAGTGGTGATTTTAGTGAGTGGTTAAAGAAACTAGAATTGGTATGTAAGCTCCAAAAGGTGAAAGACTTGCAGACAGTTCTCCCCCTATTTTTGGCTGGAGGAGCATTTTCTGTATATGACGGGCTAGCAGAAAATGTAAAGAGTAACTATGAGGCTCTCACCAATGCATTGCTGCAGGCCTTTTCTGCGAACTGTTTTCAGAACGAGGTCCACCCCAAGAACTATTAATGGACAATAGTGCAACATTCAGATGTGAACAAATTGAACAACTGTGTGAGGAATGGGGGGTTATCCGTCGTTTTAGGTGTGTGAACCGTCCGTCCGGCAATGGAATCGTTGAACGAAACCATAGAACGATAAAGAGAATGGCAACAAGAACCAGAAGAAGTGTTCAAGAAATGGTATATTGGTATAATCTAACACCAAAAGAAGATTTGAATGAAGAGTCGACACCAAGCTCTAGATTGTTCTGCTACAGGTGGAGGTGTAAGGGCGAACCTGTAAATTGTGACGAGCAACTAAGAACTGAGTTTTCACCTGATGAACCTGTGTTTGTCAAGCCTAAAAATTCCTTATGTACTACGAGATGGAAGCCTGGTGTGGTCTCACGGCAGCTCTCACAAACCAGCGTAGAGGTTGATGGTATGCCACACCATATTGCTGATGTTCGTCGTGCTGGTGTTGACACCACGGGGGCGTGTGCTTGTGATATAAATTAGTCATCAGCTGTTTGATATTGTGAACATTTTTATTTGTTTATCTTTGGATGATTTTTATTGATTCTTGTAGTCATGGAGAAATCAATATTTACCAGAGTTGGATTGTTCTGATGTATAAAAAAATGTTAGTTTGTTAAAGCATTAAGTATCTTAATTATTTTTTTAATTTGCATGTTGATTTAATTACACTTGCCTAATACAAAAGTTTACTTTATTGAAATTATTTCATTCTTTTTAGAGCATTTTGAAGTCGGTCGTATTTTTTTACAAAAATAAATTATTTCATGATTTTTAGTGACTGTATAATTTGTTATATATTAATTACTTGAAGTTTTTTGATAAGCAAAACTGCTTGAAACAACCAAAAGTGCCACAGAACAATCAATATTTTTAAACTGCTTGAGTCACCTGTTCAGTTTACATAATCAATGGGTATAAAAATTAACATTTTTGGATTTTTCTTTAAAAAAACAAAGAGTTGTCCATTACATTATGCCTAATGAAAAAAGAATGTCTTTCCTAGAGACATTGAAATGCCAGACATCGTTTCCTGCAATTGGTGTATTTCTACATTATAAAACGAAATACAGTAATGTCTCAAGCCTTTTTGAACAATAAGAAAGTTATTCCTCAGCCACCAGCACTAAAAGATCTCTTAAAAGTAGAAAATTGGTTGTTATCACGTATATTACCTTTGAAAAATACGTGTATGAAAGATTGGTTCAGCTAAAAGTGGTGTAAGGGGGAGGTGGTTTTGTTTGCTCAAGATGTAGTCGAAATTGCAAATCAGCTTCCCATTTCCGAAGCAGGCATAATATTATAGACAGTGAAGAATATTAATAAACACTCCACGTCTTCAAATGCATGTTTATTAATAAAAATATTTAACACTTTTAAGACGATTGACGATTATGCAATCTCACACCTCTTATGTCGTTTAAGGAATAATTGCATCTAATTTATGTTTAGACCTCTTTTACCAATGCTTTGGTTTTCACAATACATTTTAAATTGTCAATATTATACAGCTATTCACTATGTTGTTATAAGTCAGAACATTCAATACTCAAAACAGAATCATACACAAATCAGGTCAAACGTTGAAATACCTTTTTTATAGTCACCAAAACAAAATGCATTTTTTCAATGTAACTTATTTAGTCTCCATGGCAAGAAATAGTTTATTAATCAATATGAAGCGACTGTTTCATGAAGAAACTGTCTGTAGCTTCATTTAAATTGTTTTAACTAACAGCTGTAGGAATGTTATTATTATTTATTGCCTTCTCTGCACAAATGTAAACAATCTGCACAAATGTAAACAAAATGAATGTTGAATATTTAAGGTTTTCAGAATTTTTCACCGAAACAAATATTATACTTAAACATAATATATAAGGTACCAAATAGAAGCTCTCCTGGTTATTTTGGTGGTGGAACCACACTGATCGGTAAAAGAATCACAGAGAAATTGGTGAACATACATAGAAAAAAAAAACATCGCCACAAACAAATTGAGAACCTCCTCCTTTTGTTGGTAGTGGGGAAGTCGGTTAAAAAGTAGCCTTAAAATATGTTAAAATGAAAATATTACAGTAGTTGGGGATTAAATTGAACACATGAGACAAATAATTTAGTTTCAGGTAATACAAATGTTCAACATTTTGGATAGATTGTACAGACATTTCATCAAATTTTAATAAAAACACAGCCCAAAAATATGGTAAAATTAAAAGATTAAATAATGGATTAAAATAAACAAAAAGCTATGAAAGACACAATCGATTTTGGGGAAAATATTCATGTTCAAATCTCTCGGAGAAGT